TCTCTCTCTCTCTCTCTCTCTCTCTCTCTCTCGTTATACCGTAAAAATATTTTAACTTATTTTAAAAATTTTCCTTTTGTTTATATAAATGTACTTTAATTTAACAAAAAATAATTTAATTTATATTAAAACACTATATAAAGCGATGACACTTTGGTGGCACTCACAGCAGAAGCATTTTAATTTGTTCCGGTTTATAGTTCATCAAAGTGTTGGGATCCACATAATTGTTGACCGTATTGTTGACCGATTCATACATTTGCTCATATATTGTGCAAATCGATGCCAAAGAGTGCTTCCATACGATATCCCTTCAAAATATAAACAACACATTTATTTCGGCAATCATTTCAAAAATACATTCATATTTTACTTAGCGTTTGAAGCAATCAAATACGAGCTCTGATGGAGTGCCAGATCTGTGGGCCCAGAGATAAAAGTATCCATTTTTAGCTACAAATAGATAATAAAAATTAATATAAAAGTTATAAACACGTGATATAAATGCAAACCATTGCGGATCTGATGGCCAGTGGATCGCAACCGGAAAGTTGTGAGAAAGGGATCGTAATCTCATCCTTCTGTTGAATGGCGTTTTGCAGAGAACTTAATCCCAAATAAGAGATTATTAAATGCAAACCATTGCGGATCTGATGGCCAGTGGATCGCAACCGGAAAGTTGTGAGAAAGGGATCGTAATCTCATCCTTCTGTTGAATGGCGTTTTGCAGAGAACTTAATCCCAAATAAGAGATTATATGTGAGATCTGTTCGTTGACCAGAGTCTCGATGTGTCCGTCCGTCTGAAGCGCTATCATGTCTTTGAACCGATCGGTGAAGCGATAGTTAGCGAGCGTTTCATTGATAGTAAAGAGACAATTGAAGAGAAAGACCGCCATTTCTATTGGCGTCAGTTTAGAGGCGGAGATAATGCACGAGTGGATCAACGGCTCGATAACTGTGGACAGGATTTGTTGCACTTCTTGTTCCCTCTCTTCGTCGGCGGAGAGACACGAGTTCTGACAGAAGAGCACGTCTTTGAGGACAGAGACAATGTGTGTCACCGATTGGGTGGGCTTTAGATCATTGGCGGGCACTTCAACGTCGCTGACCTGCGATTTGCCGATTCGCGCGACACAGAAGTTAAGGCTATTGTAGAATATCTTATCACTCAATGTCTGCAACTCTTTCAGCGTATAAATGAATGGCGACTCCGGTATGAGAAGCGATGTCTGCGTCAAAGTATGCAAATAAAAGCTAATTATGTTTTTGATCCGATAGTAAACCGATGGACCGGTTTTGACGGCACTTGTATTGTCTGATATTAAGCTCTGTTCGACCCGTACTTTCAGTGGTCGACACAAACCTAATTCAAAATACAGACAATTAGTATAAAATATAAAAAATCTTAATTAAAAAGCATCCATACCTTCAGTGATGGATGAGATGGAAGTGTTGGCCAAACCAGTGGTCGACAACTTCTGTTTGTCGCACAACTTTAGCAAATTGTCAATCATTTCCCTCTCATTAGCGATGGACTGATGAAGGAATGCAAACATATCGCCCACATATCGGATCACATCGTTTGAATGGCTTTCAATGGCCGTCGTGTTAGCCGAGGGTCGGCCGCGAGTCAGGGCTTCGATGAAATTGCGGACAACAGCCGATCGGCGAACCGTCACGTATTCGTCCAAACAGTACTTGAATAGTATCTCCCGTTCCTGAAGACACGCCATCGCGCGGAACAGTTGCGGATGAACTTCGA